GTTACAAATTGGTTTGTTCATCACACAGCAGTTCAAACTCATCAGCTGCTTCACAAGAGAACAATGAGGCTCTCTGCTCCTGTAAAGACTTAAGGCCTCGGAAACACAAGGGCCACACTACTCTAGCTTACCGGGTCAGAGTCAAAATCGACCTGATGGCAGTCAGTTTGGTGTTGAGTTTTTCGGTGTTTTTTTTTTCCCATTTATTTTTTTAACTCCTAACAGAAACCATTCATTTCTCCCACAATTCAGCCCCTATTTGTTAAGGGGCCACCCATCTCCAAGTTCCTCACACTGGAAATGTGAAGCTATCTTTGATTCTTTTCCTTCACCTCCACCGACAGAAGCAGCAAGCTCAGTGGACTTGAAAGAAATGGTCAGCATGCACCAGCAGTCTCTCCTTCGTCCCCTGCTCTGCCTCCTCATGCACCCACCACAGCTATATGCGAACTGAAGGTACCACTGGCCTTCCGGCTGCCATGTCCCACACATACTTGCTGATGTTGACTGTTCTCCCCTGGCGTCTGTGGGACAACACTCTGCTCTGCATCACTTTCTCATTGTTATCTTGTCTTCTGCATGGACTCTTCTGCCTCTCCGATGCTTTTAATTGGGTGTGCCCTTGCAATCTCTCTTTTAGCAAATACATTTTTGATAGTCTATCCTCTTGAGAAAGCATACATAACTGGGTCACACTTTCTTTAGGACTCCATATCTGTGTACCTCAAAAAATCTCAACCACAGGTCTCATAGACCCCTTGGTCAACATGCGCAACATCCCTGTCTGCCTCTGTCTTCTAGTTTCATTCTCCGGCTTTAGGACCTCATCACTGTTATTCACATCATGCATTCATCCATTTACTTAACCCAGACTTGTAGTAAGAACCCGAAAAGGAGCCCGTAAACTGTTATAAGCACTGGGGATGTAACAGTGCTTAAAGAGACAGAAGTCTTCTTCTCATGGAGTTTACTTTCTTGTGACTGCGGCAGTGGCTTTACAATGGGCCCTCTGGGTTTCTAGTCTTGCCCCTCTCACCAATCTTCCACAGAGGGTTCTACATAAAATGCAAGTCTGAGCATGCCACTTTCTGTGGTAAACGCTCCAGTGGCTTTCTCTTGTGGGATGACATCCACGCTCCTTGGCTAGAATACAAGACTGCCCCTGCTTACCTTTCTAGCCTCATACTTGTCCACTATTCTCATCTAATCTTCAGCCATACCAGATTATTAGAGTTAACTGCATCCACCAAAAAGTTACATTTAATATCACTCTAGGAATATTAATATCATTTGAACATGCTTCTGTTGTAGGGATATTCATCTCTACTTGTTTTTTAAAAATTGTTAGAGTTTTGTTGCCATATAGTTAACATATCATACAATTTAATGGTTTAAACATTAAAAAGAGTTGTGCAATCGTCACCACTACAAAAGGGAGAACCAATGACAAGGTGTTAACGTTTAACTAAACTAAATTAGCATTGATCTACTTTCTAATACATTCTGTCTGACAGCAAGGCTATTTATATCCCTGGTCAATGGTGAGAGGGGTCTCTCTGGAGGTATAGCCCACAAGGGGACCCTGCAAATATATTTTTGGCTTTTAATTGTTATCCATGGCCTTCTGCATACCAGCTAATCAGAATTTAAGCTTCTAATACCAATCCCTCCTCCAGTCTTGGATTTTATTATTTACAAGCCTTGGTCACACTGGCTGGTGTGTTTCTTTCATGTGGACTTACCTGATATCTCACTTAGATGGCTGCTGTTTTACAACAAACCTTTAAGATTTAAGACCCCAGATACTATTCTTTCTGATAGCTGGGCACCATCTGAACTCTTTACCATAGTTTGTTATAGTACCCATATCCTCATTAATCTCTCCATAGGAGCAACTACTTATGCCATAAGAACAAATTGCTCTTAGATTTGGGCTATGATTAAGCATGAGCTCGAAATCTATTCATATATCTATGGCTTATATATGCCCCCAGGTGACTTGAGAGACATCATTTTCATTTTATTGGGGAACTCTCCCCTGGGGCATATGGCAAATCTATTGACAGTATCATTCATTTAGCCAGTGATACAGAATTTAAAATACTGTTGAGAAAAGTAAAGTATGCATGTGTAGGGCAGCTTTTTGGGCTAAAATACATGGATTGTTAACTTATACAGATTAAGTGATTAGATACTTTTTATGCAATTAGGATTGAAGATAGGGCAAAACTTTCAATAAGGCTCACTCACAGAAGTAGAACAATGCCTGCTAGCCTGACATGTCATAAGAAAGCAGAGTATGACCATCGGAAATATATGGTAGTCTTAAACCGCCATTTATTGGGAGCCTTCAACCAAAGTCCAATTACTTCCAAATCCATAACCTTGGGATAGTAGTCATCTGCTTCTTCTCACACTGAGATGTTTTCATTTTGTTAAGTCCAAGGAAGCATTTCAGTTCCTTTAATCTGCTACAGGTATGTTTAAGGTAAAGTCCAATTCACTTAGCTGGGTTTCCAAGTAGGATCCTTCTGGTGTGGGCTACGAAGGACCTTCTGTAAAGTGTTTTTCCGGAGGCAGATTGCTTCACCTGGTTTGCCACCAACAGAAGTGAAAATCACCTTCTTGACACATACATGTCTCCCCAGCCCCTGCTTCTAGACTTGAACTTCCAGGAAGGTTCACCGAGCACCATTCTAAGAGTGACTCTTGATGGAGGCTGGCCATGGGATAGTGCTACAGAGCAGGAACTGATTGGTCTTTTTCTGACCACAGCTGAGGTCAGGCCTCCTCTATTGAAGTTATGTTTTCAGATATACAAATAAGGGGGTGATATGTGGATCAAGAGCAATAGGCGGACACACCACCTCATTGCTTGTTAGATGAGATTAGATTACATGACCTGAGCAGAGATCTGCCTTTGTGTTTATCCATCTAGTAGTTGTCTCGTACAACATTTGTCCTTTGTGATTGACTAGCTTCCCTCAGGGTGGCAGCAATCGAAGACGAGAGGTGAAGTAACGTTCGTAGCTTACACTCAGCATGGCTAAGATACAAACGGAGAGGCCCTCTTTCATTACGCAGTGCACGTTGGTAGAGCAGGAACCGCAGTGAGTGTGGGACACAAGGGCAGTGGTCTTGGAAGGCCCCCTGAAGTTAGACATGCCTACGGTGGGGCCTCAAAGGTGAATAAAACTCAATCAAACTCACTGCCATCGAGTTCATGCTACCGCAAAAGGACCCTAAGGAACGGGGTAGAACTGTTCCTGTGAGTGTCTGAGACCCTAAATCTTCACAGGCGTAGAAGGCCCCATCTTTCTCCTGCGGAGCAGCTGGTGGATTTGACCTGTGGGTCGCAGCCCAATGCCCAACCACCAGGACGTGAGGCCTCCTTACTAGAACCCCGCTAGAATATAACAACACTGTTTTATTTTCAGCTTCTTTATTTCTATGGTTATATTTTAGTTTTGGAAAATTAGGCTGGTTTTCTATGTATAAGAGTGAGACAAAGTTTTCTGCAAGACAAATGCATCTGAGCGCAGTGAGTTCGTTTCAAGGAAAGCACTGAGTTCCTACTAGCACAGGTAGTATACCACAGGGTCAAGTCATTACCAGAACCCCAAACCCACTGCCATAGAGTCCGTCCCAACCCACAGCAGCCCTCTAGCACAGAGCAGAACTGCTCCTTAGTATTTCTGAGACGTAAATCTAGAACAAATAAACTCCTTTTTCTCCCGCCTAGCAGTGGCTGGGCAGAAACTACCAACCTTTGGGTTAGCAGCCCAATACTTAACCCACAACACCACCAAGAATTCTTGAAGTCACGTCATTAGTACTGACATGACTGAGCTGGAGAAAGGCTGGCCAGTTGATTCAGGTTCAAACTTCTCAGCCTTATTACCTGCTTGCCCACCCATCCTCCAAGTCTCAGAGGTTCTTCCCTAACTTATCTTAAGCTGAAGACTCCCAACAAGATGACTGACACAACGGCTGCATAAGGAGCTCAAATCTAACAATTGTGAGGACTGTACAGGGCTAGGGGATGCTTTGCTCTGTTGTACATAGTCGGGTTACTATGAGTCAGAACTGATTCAAAGGCACCTACAACTACAGTAACAACATATAACTGATATCAACCTGATGTTTCCTTAAGGATGTCTTTTTATCTGAGAACAACCATGCTCTCCAAAGATGAACCACTTTCTGGCCACCATACATTTGCCCTGGTGGCACTGTGGGTTATGTGTTTGGCTGCTAACTACAAGGTGAGGAGTTCGAGCCCAGCAGCTGCTCTGCGGGAGAAAGACAAGATTTCCTATTCCTGTAAAGGGTCAGTCTCAGAAAGCCACAGGGGCAGTTCTGTCGAGTTCTTATAGGGTTTCTGTGAGTAGAAACTGACTTGATGGCAGTGAATCATTTTTTCAATTTTGTGATTTTACTCACACCACTTCTGCCTAGAATTTTTTTTGCTTCTCCAAAAAGAATTTTTTTTTGCTTCTCAATATCTATTGAAATCCTATGATCCTTCAATGTCCATGCTAAGCGCTATCTCTTTCATGAAGCCTTTCCTTAATCCCACAGTCAGACACCTTTCTTTTTCATGGTGCCAACAGCACTATCTCCATGGTGGTTCCTACCACAGATAGGGTCATACTTGTTGTTGTTAGTTGCCAACTACCCACTAAATGTTGCCCAGTCCTGAGCCAGCTCCACAATCACTGGTGTGCTCCATCGAACCCACTGTTTTGGCCACTGTGCATTTTTGAATGTTTACTGACATTGTCCTAGCATTCCATCGGACAATATTCCCCTCGTGGTGCTATGGATGGATGTTCAAATGATAATATGAGTATTCTCTCACCTAGTATATTTTAAGCATTTTCAAGGGAGAAATGCAAAGGGAATGGATTTTATTCATTTTTGTACTATCAGAGTGGGCCTATAATTAATGTTTGCCAAATTAAATTTAACACCTCAAACAACATTCATTTTATACTCACAATTTTGCGCTTGATCATGAAGAGTGGGATCTTTGCATGAAGAGGGGTTGCGGACAGTTCCTTATGGACTGTTGATAAATACAATCTTCTTTTGATGTTTCTTAAATCAGTAATCCTGGGAGAAAAAAGAGAAAGAGTCTCATCAATTTAATAGCCATTCTTTAGATAATCATCAAAAAGATAACAATTTATCATATAGACCCTTCCCGAAAGGGAGATCAAACAGAGAATTTAAGAATTGCCATTTTCTTTCAAGAAGCAATAAAATTTCTCCCTGAAATTCAAAGCACTCACAAGCCTGAATGTATAAATTCACTTAATATGCTAATTTATTTCAGTACTCTACACTACATTTCCACAGTCCTAAGGAAAAAAAATTCAATTTGTATGAGCTGAGAAAATGGCTAGCCTTTAATAACCATGCTTGTTCCAGCCCCTTAAGCTTGTGTTATCTTGGGACATACTGTCACCTACTAAATAGGAAAACATTACGGGTTTCTTTCCCTAAAAATGCACCTGTCATTTTATATAGGCTTTTTGTCTGCTTAGAGACAGGCCCAGAGCACTGACTGTCGGTTTCACTTCCTAAGCACATATCTTGGAACCAGAATTATAATACACACGTTTATTGCTCACTATTCAGGTCAAGCCACCCTGATACCAAGGACACTGAATTTGAACATCTTTAATAGATTTAGACCACAGCCATGATCACAAAGATTAGGTCTGCTTCAAATCAATAGAGGCTCATTTTTATGTTCTGCTTCCTTTAGTTTCAGAGGTAGTACAACAGGCATAACATCTCCAGGCTTGTCTCAGGCTGCAAGCTGCTAAAATGTAGAGCGGATGGTTCCCTAAAGATAGCATTTGTATCTGTGGACAATAATTAATTTCTCATGTATTTTTAGCAACTTGGTCTAAATGTACTATACTGCTAATGGACTATAATTAGCAATTCCCCGAGGAGCCAACATCCCATTCATATATAAAG